CCGGTGAGTACTGTCTGGGGGGCGCAGAGAGAGAATGATTGATCAAAAGGTAGAGAGAGGTATCTTTGTGCACCTATGCAGTAGAAGCTGTTTGTTGACATTTGTAAGTTCAGGTACATAGACCAAAAAAAAAAATTTAAATCTTGTTTGTTTTAATCCGACCCGCTTGTGAAATCGCCAAACGATAATTATGTATCTAGGTGATGTACCCTTTTCTCTATCAGGGTTATTTTCCTTCTGCAGTTTGGCCGATCTGTAAAATAAAAAAAGATACAATTGTGATTTTATTTTTAAGTTATTGGCCAAAGAACACACTCCAGTGACAACCCTATGAATACTAAGTGTGTTTTCACATGCGGGCTTTCACAACAGAATGAAGTGTGAAATGGAATAATAGGATATATTTTTATCTTCAATTGGGGGATTATTTTATCTTTCTCTGAAAAACCACATGAATTATCTTCCTTTGAAAATTATTTCATCTTCCTCAGAAAATGTATTCTATCTTCTCTTGCCGGGCTGTTTTAACCTCTTCCACAGGATTATTTTGTCTTTTTCTGTCATGTTATTTTATTTTCCTTTGCAGGAGTATTTTGTCTTCCTCTGCAGGATGATTTTGTCCTCCTTTGCAGGATTTTTAAAATTCCTCTAAAGGATTATTTTATCTTCCTTTGTAGGAATATTTATCCTCCTCGATCGTATTATTTTTTTCTTACTGTGATGAATCATTTTATCCTTTTCTGTTTCAGGAGAAGAGGGCTAAGGAGGCCCAGAAAAGGACAAAGAAGAAGGAGAGTAAGTCCTCAGTAACGTCCACCAGTGGTCTGCCCTTAGAGGACTACCCCACTTCCCAGGAGAACCGGTCCATCCCACATTTTGTCTACAAGTGCGTCAGCTACATAGAGGCTGAAGGTAAGAGAGCTTCTCATGCATTGACAAAATGAGTGACAGATCGATTCCAAACTCAGAATTACAAATTTCTATCTGCTCAGTACCTAGTTTTGAGAAATTTGACGAAAAGAAAATTGTGAGTTTCACACTACTTCAAGCTTTTTCGAATGCAATTTTTTAAATATCTTGATAACGCGTCTGAATAATCTTACGATTTTGTTAGAGAAGATAGAGCACTTGATTTATTTCTGACTTCATGGTCTTATAAACTCAAAATGGCCAAAAATGTCAGATAGAACTTTGTAATTCTTAGGTAGTGAGATGCTGACAGCGAAGCACAAATGAACAAAACAGAAAGGAAGGGACGTATAGATAGATGAACAGAGAGAGACACTGACATGCAAAAAGAGGGAGTGAATAAGGCCAACAGACAGAAAAGGAAATAGAGACAGAGATTGAGATTCCTTTGGTATTAAGAAGTAAAAGCTTTCTGTCTTTGTGCAGTCGAATGACTGACTTGGCCTACACTCGTAGTATTTTTGAGTCGGTAATAGCCACATCTGTATGTGAATGTTTCTTCTATGTCCACACAAGGGAGTGGCTGGAGAGTGCTAGTGGCAGGTATTTCTTCTTTCTTTCCCTCTATAGTTTCCCTCTGAC